ACCACAGGATTTAAAGAGCACAAAACATGGTCTTCGTGGTATTTACTGTGCAACTTGCATACGACTTGTTCATAGTGGTCATTGCTTGTGCAGTACACTGCACATTCTCTGCATCAAAACAGGCAGAGCACGGTTTGCCACATGTCAGGTGCTGAAGTGATTGCAGGTTTCAAATCAGAACTTTTCTTTTCCTTGGGAGATGTCCAAACAAGGACTAAGGAGATATCTCTCTCTCTCTCTTGCTCTCTCTCTCTCTCTCTCTCTCTCTATCTATCTATCTATCTATCTATCTTAATGTTCATATCTCTCTCAATGTACAGATCTATGTTTCTTCATCTTCAGATCTATCTATCTATCTCAGTCTTTTTGATATATATATATATATATATATATATATATATATATATATATATATATATATATATATATATATATCTGTATGTCTCTATATCTCTCTCTATGTATATATCTCTTTATATCTCTTTTATCTCTCTATATATATCTCTCTATCTCTCTATATATATATCTCTATACCTCTATATCTAGATGTATCTTTGTATCCCTCATATCTATATCTATCTATCTATATCCCTCTCTATCTGTCTAACTATATATATATATATATATATATATATATATATCTGTATCTCCATCTCTCCATATCTCCCTGTATATATATATATATATATATGTATATATATATATATATATATATATATATATATATATATATATATATATATATATATATTTTCTATATCTCTCTGTATCTCTCTATACCGCCATGTCTATCTCACTATATCTCTCTATATTTCTATACCTCTGTATCTCTACATCTCTTTATATCTCTATATATCTCTATATCTCTCTCTATATATCGCTCTCTATCTCTCTATGACTCTCTATATATCTCTTTATATCTCTCTATCTCTATATCTCTCTTCCCCCCCTCTCTCTCTCTCAATGGTTTAACCGCGCAGCTGGACACCATCCCAAGTTTTTCTATGTCCCCGCGACACACATATATATTTTACATTGGAGGTCGTGGTAAAAATATACATATTAAATCAATTCACCCCAAAGAAGGCTGTAATGCCACAAAGACGCAAGTAGTTACTGAGAGTAAAAGATAAGAAGAAGACATTAGAAGCAACAGGAAACGAAATCCTAAACAGAAAAAGGGATAAACCCCTACTCCTGTTCAGAAGACCGGAGAGGTATGTGAACCGGACCCAAAAACGAACGTATCTCTATATATATATTGAGGAATCGCAGAGCCGAGTTCGAATTCCAGTCGAATCCATTACATTCACTTACGTGCTAATACCCTTGGGAAAAGTGTGAATCCTCTTCTTCTCCCTCCAGCTATGGGTAAAATAGCAGGACAGACTGTGTTCTATAGCCTTGGATGGCCACTGGTCTAAGAGAAGGACAACTCTGAATTCAAAACCTGCGGAGGGTCGTTTGGGGACCTTGTGGCACTTAATGCACCAGGTCTCTGTATTCGACCCTTCAAAAAAGTGTGGATGGTCCTGCACGAAACCTTCACCAATATAATCAAATCTCATGCGCCGTTGTCGGGCTGTCGGTTTTCTTGAAACTGATCTGCTTGACCCTCATACGTCAAATTCGACGGGAGAGTCGACTATATATATATATATATATATATATATATATATATATATATATATATATATAAATAAAATGTTGGTTTCCTGCTGTAACATGTGTCTTTTCGAAACCCCCACAAAAGAAATCCAAGGGTGCCAAATCTGGTGACCTAGGTGGGTATTCAACTGTCCCTCTTCTTCCAATCCATTTGTTTTGCATATTTTCATCCATATAAGTTCTCACATCCCGGCAATGTATTATTATCTATTAATATTTAAAGAGTGTATACATTATTTTCAGACACATATATATATATATATATATATATATATATATATATATATATATATATATATAAGCAGCTCTTAAAAGTGTCTATCGTGTATGAACACCAGAAATAAATGTGCTCAACACCCTACAATATGGTAGAGCTTTTCTAAACAAAGAATCTCCTTTCAGATGTACGCAGTTCGGCCACTACTATACGTTTCATGTCTTTAAGCAATCGCCAGGTGATCGACAGCTGTAATACGAAAATGGGAGCTTTTATACTCCCAGGAAAGACCAAGATAGAAAAAAAATATAGATGGTATTCGCGCACTATGCATTACTCAACCAATCTTACCTTAAATGGGGAAAGCAACCATCCGGCCAAGACCAAAATTAAGCCATAAACATACAATTATACCCCTCACCACGAAACAAAACTGCCTCACCGATGCATCAAAAAAGTGCTCAATGCCACAGAGACAACTATAGCAGAGCTTTCAAATATAAATAAAAATAAGCAACCCTTAAAAAGAGTCTGTCTTGTATGCACACCAGAAAGAAAAGTGCTTAACACCATACAATGTATATGTATGAGTGGGTGAAATGCTATAAACCAAAA